ATTTTCTATGTGTATCAGAGACACTTATAGCTTCTATTTACACCATTCTGATTTTCTATGTGTATCAGAGACACTTATAGCTTATAATTACACCATTCTGATTTTCTATGTGTATCAGAGACACTTATAGCTTCTATTCACACCATTCTGATTTTCTATTCTTTGTATGTGTATCAGAGACACTTATAGCTTCTATTCACACCATTCTGATTTTCCAGTCTTTGGCCAAGTTTTTATGAACGTACAAGCCCTCCTTGTTCATGTTTACATTATAACTTATATACAGAAAGATAGGCTTCGATTGTTTTCCAATCAATACATCACTAATTGTCATCAAAATGTTAATTATCATCACAGCTTAATTAGAATATATAGACATCATAAATATTCATGAGAAACATATTTGCATATTCAATTAAAACACCCGATGTTAAACGGTACATAAACATTTGAACAAAAAAAAATTTTTTACGATCATATAATATAAATTACATTCGTCAGATGCTATATACCAATGTTTCGCCATGTTGTTTTGGATTTAGGGTTTTACGGTTCGGATCGTTATTACTTGGTGTATTTATTCTATAAGGAGTGAAATGTACCAGCTGATTGAGCTCCATCATCATTTTGCAGAATCAAAATCCGACGCCCATCGTTTCAGATTCTCGTCGGCAGTTATCACGAATAACGTCATGATATCGGTAATATCTACAAGTAATATGCTAATAACGGCCCGCGGGAAAGAAAGAAATGAATAAGTTAATCTTAATCTTAAACACGGAATTTTTATCTTTAGCAGTGCACCCAAGTTTATTCCTCGAGGCACCAGAGCTATTCGTGCATTATTCTAAATCAGGCATCATTCCTACATCAGGCATCATTTCTACATCAGGCATCATATCGAAAATCAGGGACTACATGGCATATTCATAATCTTCAGATTAGCGTTCAATAAATCTACATTTAATCAGTTTCATTATCAGGTCCCTGATTGGTTGATTAAGATATTTTGATCGGGTTATTATATCATTCAGCCATTTTGATTGGATGCTGATATAATTTAGCTATTTGCTTGGATTAATTTGACTTAAAGGTGATAATGTGTCTTTTCATGACGTTCTATCATCAACATGAAACGTAACAAATAGTTATCTTTTCAAGTTGATCACTTTAGTAGCAAGCCTGTTTTCCACGCAATTTAACAACTTTATTCAAATTTACTCATCCCTGTCATGGGACATTTTTTATATTTCGCCATTCACAAAATAAGATGGCTCAAATTCTTTTTAAATTGATGGAGAACTTTGCCTTTTTTGAGATTCTGGTCTTAATGATATTCTAGTGAATTTAAACTCCATTTAAATTCTTTTAATCACGTACAATTATATTGTCCTATTCTATTACAATAGCCTTGAAAGGTACAGATTTTAATTCATATCATTAAGCAAGCGAGGACTGTGTTCTATTGAAGCTATATTTATTTGAATATTTTTTTAACTTGACAATCGAATACGCTGTAATTGAGGCTTCAACTTTCATCCATTCAGAATAAAACGATGTTCTTTTCATCCAATATCAAAATATGTGTTAAATAAACACAGAAACGCCCTGGCTAGAGTTGGGAGCGACAATAATTCAACGCTATCATTGAAATTTGAATGAAATGATACTATTTTTAATTCACACCCTGTAAAGTGTTGAAGATGTGTTCGATTGACTGATAGGACAGGGTACTCGTGAAGGAACGCGATCCAGAAAGTGTTCTGCAACTGTTTGTAACGTTTTTTTTTTATAGTTTTGTCTACTAAACGAGTCGCTCTGTTGTAAGGTTATGTAAAGTTTTTATTGTGTTGTCTACTAAACGAGTCACTCAATGGTAGCGTTACGTATTTTTATTTTATTGCAAACAGATTTCGCAGATGAGTTCGATCCGTTATCATTTAATAAAATAAAATATTTACGCCTTCCGCTAACGGTCACACCCAATTAGGTTTACATAATGTTTTAACGCATTGAAAAACATATATACATCCCAACTGAAGAAAACCATTTATCTACACTTGTGAGTAATATTGTCAAGAGGGTATTTTGGGGATTATGATATTTAATATACTATAGGGGTATATCGAATAACGATGGCTTATATTTACATTTCAAGACTACGAACGAGTTAAGGGTTACCCGTTTGACATATCGATTGAAATAAAATGAAATCGAGACGATGTGCTGTGCGTTACAGATATTGCTAGTGGTGCGGGATTATCGATATAAGAGAGGACTAGAACAAGCCAATACTATCACGACGTCCGGAGTCGTGATCGCAACTGTACCTCGTGTACATATATAATAAAAATCCGTACATTCCGTGGATCAAAAAGCTCGTCTAAATTATGGAAAAATCGAGAGTAAAGTTTCTGCTTCTTGTACAAATATTTCTATTTATTCTTCCTTTTTTTCTACTGTATCGATAATACCGCGCCAGACGCCGTCTCTTGTCTCACATCTTTAAACGACTGTCACCTACTTCAGCACCAAGTCTTTAGTTGGTTGACAGTGAAGTAGGATAAATGTGCCTGATCCGAGCTAATACTCTGAGATCAATTCCTGACACAACCCTCGTCTTAACATTATATTAGTAAAGAAGACCTCGTTATCTTTAATGCCACCTTCTGTTAGTCTTCCCTATTAGTTTAGAATTAACTCAGAATGAATGAATGAAAGGATGAAGGAATAGATGAATAAATAAATGACACTATTAAAGACTTGATGGTTGAATGAATTAATGTCACGATGAAGGAATGAATGAATGAATGAATGAATGATGGGAATGAATGAATGACACGGTGAAGGAATGGACGAATGCAGGTGGGATGAAGGAATGAATAAAGGGATGAAGGGAAATAATGGAATGAATGAATGAAAAGATGAAGAGATGAATGATTTTTTTTTAAGAATGAGTGTATGAATGAATGAAAAGATGAATAAAAAAAATGAATAAATATTTTTGTGTTTCGATTAAATGGTCCTAGAAATGCGACGGAGTTTTACGTCATTAAACCGTTTTCCAAATGATAATACGTCAATTCTTGATCATCTTACGTATATCACACTTATAATAACGCAAATTATATTACATATTGCAAAATATACTCGTTATTAACACATCTGGAGAAGTTCAAGCCACATAGAAAGTTGCTATCATGGCGGAGCTAGTAAAATGGAACGAGAACCCTTACTCTTTCGACAGTCACCTGTATATCCCTTTCTTTTTGGTTGAAGAATCCAAATTTAACCCCATTAGGCACCAAATTTCACCTTCAAGAGCACATGCAAGCAATCTGCAATGTGGTTTATCAACACGATGTGTTATTTCAACCAGTGTAGAATGTTAGTAACATTATATTGATAGTTTGTTTTATAACTAATTAGGGCGTCTAACCATCGACATGTAACATGAAAATTGGTCTGTTGATTTGACCTAATATCAAATTTGACACGTTCATTTTAACATAACAGACTTCTTTTTAGCAGTTTTCTTTTAACAGTTTGCAGTTTTATATCACAAACATCGAGGAAATATAAAAACATTTAGAAAGACGAAAACAGAAAAAGGAATCGTAAGTGCTAGCTTGGTTAGTCAACAGGACATATTACTTTTCAGAGAGTCCACACAACTAATGATTTTGGTAATTTGTCTACTCTGCAGTCCTTTCAGAGAGTCCACATAGCTTATAATATTTATTGAGGTTTATCAACTCAGCATCCTTTTAGAGAGTCCACTTGGCTAATAATGTTTATGTGGTATTTAGGTTTGTCAACTCAGCATCTCTTTCAGAGAGTCCACATAGATAATACTAGATACTAAAATAATCTTAAACACACCAGTATTGCAAGTCAAGATCATCTGCAAAACAGGCATTAGATTTCAAATTTCTTTTTTGAAAGACTTTGATAAAATGTCACATTTGGAATTTTTCCATTCTGGATTTAGCTTTTAACACGTGTAAAAGTTGTTGTTAATCGTAATATTTTTCGTTCAAAAGATTCCATATGAATGTCCGAGACGTGTTTTGTTCCCTTAAATTTCCAGGCCTTAGGCAAAAGATGTAGGCCTATCTTTTGTAGAAGTTAATAGAAAATATGTTTGTTGAGTATTCGAGGCCATGATTTGCCGGGGGAAGCTAAAGATCGAGAAATGTTACAACTCTTAGACATGAATTCAGAGTTGTTTTTCTCTCCGCTTCGGGCTGACTTAATTTTTTATTTTTTACAAGTGGTGTTGTTATTTAATTTTTACATTTGTTGGATGTCGATCGATTCTGAATTTAGATTAATATTAATGTCTGATGTATGTGTTTTGTTATTTTTTTTAATCTATCTATATTCTATATAATATAATCGATGACATTTGATCAATATTTTGTTTGCATGAATGAATTCTTAGATTTAGATATAAAATATGCCTTTCTAAAACAAGACTCTAGTCGATTGGCGATTTACATAAAAATCATAGAAATATTGTAAAAAATTAAAACAGAATCTAACAAAAATATGTTGTTTCTCAGAGTTTCACGCTATGCGATCTTCAGACAACTGATCTATTTCAGCCCGCATCCCTACAGAAGTTGGAGAAGTGAAAAATTTCCAGATCCGTCGCAGTTAGCATAAGCTATTCTGCTAACATTTGTGTTTAACTGGATGATCGCAGATTCCTACCGCTCTAGTTGGTGATACGATCCAGTCATAAAGCCGATCGGACTCCACCTTAGTGATTTCCTTGCGTTTTCAATTTGTTGATATTAAACATATTTTATCTCTTTCACCTATAATATTCATTGGCCTTTAATATTTGTAGACATACGTTTACTGTGTTATAGAAACTGCATTAGGGGGTAGCGTTAAGAGTATTTAGAGGAGACTATTGCCCTTACTGCTGATCTGTGTGGGGAGGGGCAAAGGGGCTGATGTCGTGAATATTTGACAAAAAACCTGTGTCCTACCTCTAATATTTTCTTTGGCCTGTAGAAGAGTTTTTTCATGATCACCGGGTCTGACATTGTCCTCGTCAAAATCCCGATTCCACACTTCAACTCCGTACATAGTTTGCCATTTCATATATATAGCTTCCAGAGCAAAAAAACAATTAGATTTCCCCTTAGTCGATCCCGGGGGATAGTTATGGTACCACAGACCTACACGATTCCACTGGAAATTCTGACACATGGTGAAAAAGAAATCCCCGGCCCGTGCGTACGGACCCATCACTCGAGTCAGTAGCTTATACTCCTTTTTATTCTCGAAAGCCCCGACCATGGCCCCTCCGCTGATGATCGGGATATCCCAGGCGTACGAAAATCTAGCAATAGGGGCTACGGCATAATCACACGCGGGTCCAATAAACACGTGGACCGATTCTTTCATATCTATGGCGGCCAGTGGACCCAAGGTTTCTGAGCAGTTCGAGTCCGCATATTCCACATGGATGTCAATATTTTCCAGAAATTCGGGCCTGTTTCTGACCGTTTCCAAGGCATATTCAATAGCCGGTTTCGATTTCGGTAAAACCCATGGATAATCTCCGCTGAAGGGTAAAATAACACCGATTTTAACCGTTTTACACACAATTACGGAAAAATACAAACTTCCAAAAATTGCCCTGAGCAACGCGGTGGTTTGTGCCATGGGGTATAACTCACAAATTATTTATACATCGACATTGGCGCATATTTAAAATCAGTATTAACTGTTAGATATGTAATTACATACATATTGGTCATTGATAAAGCACACTTAAAACTTGATATACACTTCTTATAACTCGTATAGACACTTAATATAACTCATAAAACTTTAAACTTTAAACGTAATTCCAATTATTAATGTAAAAAGCACAGAACGAAACTTCCGCTCGCTGTAGCTATGCTCACACCACGAGTTAGAATAAAAAAACGTGTGTTATTGACTGACTATGGTGAGTAAATGATCTATCGTGAACGAGCGAACTACTCCACACGGCGTACAGTCAGTACTGTATACTATATGTAAGGTTTGCTCACTGATAAAAGCAATTTGACTATTTGATAACACTACTACTGGTATTTAGTTTGCCTGGCCAGTGGAACGTATGTGGAAAGTATGTGAAACGTGTGAAACATACACAGCTGTTTCTTTCAACTCCACATCCGATCCGCGTTCCCGATTTTCATTTAAACAGACCCGTGGCTACAGGGGAGCAAGTTGATGCGGGTGGGATGGCAATGAGGGGGGGCGGGGGGGCGCCTGAAAAAAAATTCTGACAACCGACGACTAAGTCCATTACAGCAACTGAACATCATACACTATTGCTCCCCCAGATATATTACTAGTTTCTCCGGACTATCAAGTCTGACTGCGGGTCTGTATTTAAAAGGACAGCAATGTAGTTTTACGTCCTACTTTTCTGATCCAGATTTGGGAAAATGAAATGAAATGGGGTTTTATGTCCTACTTTTTACCTTAGAATTGAGCATAGAAAATCCATGAAGACTTACAGGAACAGAAATAGTTTAACGTCCAATTTTCTGCCTCGGAAAAAGCCAAAAGACTTCGGACTATGCTGACTGCCATGCGGGATTTTTATTGACACAGACTTTGGTTAGCCTACACTTTCTCGATTTACAAAAACATTCATTCATTTGTTGTTCTCAGAAAGGAAAGCAGTGGAGTTTTACGTCTTCCTTTTCTTCAGCATATTGGACAAAGGAAATCGATGGACACCTTGCAAAATGAAATATTTCTCAACATTAGGCAAATGAAGATGTCATGGCCGACGAGGAAAGTTTGCCATCGCACTTCTTTTTTACCTCATTCCTCTACCTCATTGATTTTGTCGGCTCTTTTGACGTTGCTCCTTTTGATTGTAATTTGGTAGGTAATCTACCTGCCGATGTTCTCTTGCGATTCATTCCATCGTTTTTGTTCAATTTTTATTTCCAATTTTTAGTCAAAGCTGTTCATTACAAAGATTGATTTGAACCTCGGAATATTACTGTCAAGTTGAACTATTATATCACACTGAAGGGTTTTTTTTACCGACACCTGACACCAAGTTTAACTTAAAATTTGTCGACAAGATAAAGATGAAAAAGTTTCCGCGACAAATATTAGTGTTGTGGGATTCGCTGATCGCTGATTTGTTGCTCTTTTGAGACACCTTAAGGGGCTTTGTGAATGACATTGTAAAATCGGCATCCCGTTTTGAAAGCCAAGTCCCAATTATGAAATAAGTAATTAGAATTCGAGAAAGGAAGGAAGGATGATCTAGAAAAACATAAGGTGAGGGTGTCGAGCAGGGTCACAAAATTTCCAGCTCCAGGGGGACGCGGGAGGGACAGGCCATTCTATCCCTATGTAAAATGATAATAAAATTTGAATGTAAGGGGGGGGGGTCTTTTCATGCCCCCTCCCCTCCATAGAAACGCCACTGTGATCTACCTGAAGAAACTTTTCTACATCTGGAAGGGCTTTTGAAGAAAGACAGTCTCACGAAGTGTGTAAAGAGACAAGCGGTATGGGGCTACTCGTTTTCGATTTCCAACTGTCGAGGGCCTTGGTATATCGTCTCATCCGAACGACTCAACATATTTCCACTTTGATTGAAATAAGGCATCTGGTCAAGAAATACAAGTTTTCAATAAGAGACCTGCCATGGAAGTCTTTAATAAACTGATTCAATCCAACTGAGTTGATTTAGGGATTTTAAAAAAGCAACACGTTCCCGAACATCCATTAATAAACATGTTAACTAGATTGCTTCCCTTCATCACGACAGTCCCAATATCTGTTAATGACTCGGCATGCTTTAATATAAAATTTATAGCCAAGACAATTATAGGTATCAAAATGTCGCCATTTCCGCTGACATCGTTAGTGATAATATATTGGAATTTTAGCACATCAAATGGCTTGTAGGGGTCAACTTCGATTTGAACCTTATTAACGATAGGTCAAAGTTCATGTGGACAATGTAGCCATAAAGCTTAATACAGCGATGACAGAATAAGAGTTATTAGTTCTTGCTTCCGTCGACTTGAATTCTTCTTGATTTAAAGCTCGTGCGCCATTGAGAGAAGCTGTTAAGGTCGCAAGGTTTCTTCATTTCAGAATATTCTTGCATGTCGAGTCTTCTATTGATGCCCTTAGCCTCCAGGCTCGATCAATACATAGAAATGACACGGAATCGTAAGCACTATCGCTAAAGAAATGGTCTAGCAGCATTGCAACAGTAGAATACCCTCCGACTCCTTTCGTACAGCATTGTCAAAGTGTTCGAAATCAACACAACATCATCGACCGCATGGTGGTGAAACATTTTTCAAAATGCCTTATTGGGTTAAAAGATGCACATACTGGCACATGCAGAGGGGGGGGGGGGGGGCATAGTGAGAAGTAAATGGGGCTACAGTTTCGAATCAAGAACCACTTTCATCACCAATGCCCCTGAAGAGGTATAATTCTTTTGTAACACAAAGTTTTCAGTATTTGTCAGTTTTCTCCATTATGGAATTCGCCTTTTTGATTTCTGATGGAGGTTGGTAAAGTGTCGTTGGTCTCCTGTAATCTCCTGGGATTGAGTTAGGATTGTGAGATAGAGCGTCTTAAACTGGTTGATTACTCAGCCAATCTGTCTATTAACAAACTATAATGGTCTTCTCACCAAATTACCATCTTAATTTATTCTATCCCTAACTCTCAATTAATCCGTAATAGTTAGCAGGGGGTTGGTCTAATCATCCCCATATCGGATATTATAAATGCTTCACGTGGCAATAAGTTGAAATTATATATTAATCTTGGCTAGCCCGAGGCGAGAACGATTTACTTTTTTGCCACGTGGACCAGATCATTTTGAAAGGAATGAAAGGGGCTCAAGATTAATCCTTGGGCTGCGGGGATATAAAGTGACACTACGCCTTAGAATGAACATATAATTTAAGAATTTTAAACATGGCCAATAAGAACATATATCCATCAGTAGATATACCTGGTGTGTCATAAATAATCCAGATTCAAAGTTACACAAGTGCAAGGAATATGGCTGAAAATAACCATGGAACATATAAACAATAGAAGAAAAAATCTCACGTTGCAAATAATGTAGAGAAATGGCCGAGAGCTTCACAAGAATGTTCCGAGATTTTCTCTTAAATCTTACATCTGAATCAATCAAGTAGAAGTAGAAAGTAAAAAAGGCTAATATTAGTAGTTTTAATCGGAGGCAATATCGATGACAGTATAGCGTGTTTGAAATACAGAACAGATTATAAAAAGATCTGGTTGCACATTACAATATTTAATTACAAGTTGATTGAACCCCATGCCTTAAAGAGATTCGAATGGGATTTCTTGTCTTTTTCTGCGAGTTAGTAGTCATTTCACTATTTTGATTTACCAGTCTTTTAAGATCGAAAGAGTCTATTTGGTATATTATTATGCGTATCAAAGACAGTGAAAGCTGATCGCTTTGTCACACGTACACCATTCTGATCATCCTCTCAAAGTCTAGTTCAATAAGATACAGAACAGTAGGATATAAAACTTCATTTGATTTCATTAGTCCAATAAGATACAGAACACTAGGATGTAAAACTTCATTTCATTTCATTAGTCCAATAAGGTACAGATCAGTAGGATATAAAACCTCATTTCATTTCATTAGTATAATAAGATACAGAACAGTAGGATGTAAAACTCCATTTCATTTCATTAGTCCAATAAGATACAGAACAGTAGGATATAAAACTCCATTTCATTTCATTAGTCTAATAAGATACAGAACAGTAGGATGTAAAACTCCATTTCATTTCATTAGTCTAATAAGATACAGAACAGTAGGATATAAAACTTCATTTGATTTCATTAGTCCAATAAGATACAGAACACTAGAATGTAAAACTTCATTTGATTTCATTAGTCTAATAAGATACAGAACAGTAGGATATAAAACCCATTTCATTTCATTAGTATAATAAGATACAGAACAGTAGGATATAAAACCTCATTTCATTTCATTAGTCCAATAAGATACAGAACAGTAGGATATAAAACTCCATTTCATTTCATTAGCCCAACAAGGTACAGAACAGTAGAATGTAAAACTTCATTTGATTTCATTAGTCTAATAAGATACAGAACAGTAGGATATAAAACTCCATTTCATTTCATTAGTATAATAAGATACAGAACAGTAGGATATAAAACCCCATTTCATTTCATTAGCCCAATAAGGTACAGAACAGTAGGATATAAAACCTCATTTCATTTCATTAGCCCAATAAGGTACAGAACAGTAGCATATAAATAATAAGATACAAACAGTAGGATGTAAAACTCAATTGTAGTGGTAGCCTTTCCTTCTCTTTATTCATATTAATCACAATCAACAGAAACTCAGTATTGAAGAACAATCCTCTTTTACTTGAATACCCGAGTACAATAAAACTAAGTATCATATTAACCACAGACAAGCCCTCTACAAATCTCTACTAGTTCTTTGTATTAAGTCAAGTTAAGAGGCCATAAAGTTAAGTTTCGAGTCGATTCGGCTTCACTTTTCACACCAAATTCACATAAATTTAACAATTTACTAACAAGTCTAGCTCGTAAAGTGTTTTTGATCTTTCTAGTTTAGCTCACAAACTTATAGTTATGATTTGTATTTTATGTTTTTGACAAGTATAAAACTGTATTGTTTTGTTGGTTTTATTGTTTACTCTTGTCGATAATAAACGTGTTTTAAATGAAAATTTCTATGTATTTAGGTGCAATGTTTATGGTCTAGTATATTGTGGCTAATAAGGTTGATTCAGATTTTGTCTCCCACGCCGGATAAATCTTCCGGTGGACAAGCCTGTGGTCATTCTACAACCGATCTTGACAATGTCAAGCTATTATAAACTTCGTACTTGTATCTTAAATGCAAAAACCATCTTTCTTGTTTCAGAGATTGCAGCGATTTGATTGGATTGTACACCAGATTGTAGAGCCAATCAGAGCCATCGACAGAAAGGCTGTACATATTAAGGAGCAGAAATATCAACTAGAGATCCCTTGCTTGAACCTGAATAGTTCAGGCCTGTAGTTAGCCAACGATCCCTACACAGGTGGAGAGGGCGAGAGCGGTGGGGTGGAGGGTGTTCAATATTTTAACGAGTCAATCAAGACATACATCACAAAGCCTGTGCCTGTGTGTTTATAGAAACTTTTAAGAAATTACTCCGGGGGTCCCATTGACCGCGCCCTCCATGCTACTGACCTGTGTTATTTATTCTATTGAGGAATATTCATGGTTAGATTTTAAATCTTTCCTAGATATGCATAATCTCTTTATTCAACTTTACTCGATTAGATTCTATTTAAAAACGAAGCGTATAAGTTTAAATAAATAGTGTATAATGAACTAAACTCCGAATCGTATCAACATTTGCATAGCTATTATAAAGAAATCGATATAATTTAGCATTATAATCAAATCAGTAAACATTTAGATACAAAGTTATACAATATCTCATTATTCTGTTTATAATTTATAAATATAAAATGTATCGAGCAATTAAAACATTATACAACTCAATATAGTATTTTAAATCAGCTTGCTACATAGTTGCAATTCAACCAAGCAATCTGATAGCAAGTTGGACACAGAAAACTGTCATTGTACCAAGTAATCTGCTGGCTAGTTGGACATAGAAAACTGTCATTGTACCAAGTAATCTGCTAGCTAGTTGGATATAGAAAACTGTCATTGTACCACGCAATCTGATAGCTAGTTGGACACAGAAAACTGTCATTGTACCACGCAATCTGCTAGCTAGTTGGACATAGAAAACTGTCATTGTACCAAGCAATCTGCTAGCTAGTTGGACATAGAAAACTGTCATTGTACCAAGCAATCTACTAGCCAGTTGAACACGTTAGTTTGGTATGATCTAGTCCCATTCTGACTACAGAAAACTGCCATTGTACCAAACAATCTGCTAGCTAGCTGGACACAGAAAACTGTCACTGTACTACACAATCTGCTTGCTAGTTGGACAAAGAAAACTGCCATTGTACTGCGCAATCTGCTAGCTAGTTGGACATAGAAAACTGTCACTGTAACAAGCAATCTATTAGCTAGTTGGGCATAGAAAACTGCCATTGTACTGCGCAATCTGCTAGCTAGTTGGACATAGAAAACTGTCATTGTACCACGCAATCGGCTTGCTAGTTGGACATAGAAAACTGTCATTGTAACAAGCAATCTACTAGCTAGTTGGGCATAGAAAACTGTCATTGTACCAAGCAATCTGCTAGCTAGTTGGACACAGAAAACTGTCATTGTACCAAGTAATCTGCTAGCTAGTTGAACATAGAAAACTGTCATTGTACCAAACAATCTACTAGCTAGTTGGACATAGAAAACTGTCATTGTACCAAGCAATCTGCTAGCTAGTTGGACATAGAAAACTGTCATTGTAACAAGCAATCTACTAGCTAGTTGGGCATAGAAAACTGTCATTGTACCAAGCAATCTGCTAGCTAGTTGGACACAGAAAACTGTCATTGTACCAAGCAATCTGCTAGCTAGTTGGACACAGAAAACTGTCATTGTACCAAGCAATCTACTAGCTAGTTGGACACAGAAAACTTTCATTGTACCAAGCAATCTGCTAGCTAGTTGGACATAGAAAACTGTCATTGTACCAAACAATCTGCTAGCTAGTTGGACATAGAAAACTGTCATTGTACCAAGCAATCTGCTAGCTAGTTGGACATAGAAAACTGTCATTGTACCAAACAATCTACTAGCTAGTTGGACATAGAAAACTGTCATTGTACCAAGCAATCTGCTAGCTAGTTGGACATAGAAAACTGTCATTGTACCAAGCAATCTGCTATCTATATGGACACAGAAAACTGTCACTGTACTACAAAATCTGCTTGCTAGTTGGACATAGAAAACTGTCGTTGTACCAAGCAATCTACTAGCTAGTTGGACATAGAAAACTGTCATTGTACCAAGCAATCTGCTATCTAGTTGGACACAGAAAACTGTCATTGTAACAAGCAATCTGCTAGCTAGTTGGACATAGAAAACTGCCATTGTACTGCGCAATCTGCTAGCTAGTTGGACATAGAAAACTGTCATTGTACCACGCAATCGGCTTGCTAGTTGGACATAGAAAACTATCACTGTAACAAGCAATCTACTAGCTAGTTGGACACAGAAAACTGTCATTGTACCAAGCAATCTGCTAGCTAGTTGGACACAGAAAACTGTCATTGTACCAAAAAATCTGCTAGCTAGCTGGACACAGAAAACTGTCACTGTAACAAGCAATCTGCTAGCTAGCTGGACACAGAAAACTGTCATTGTACCAAGCAATCCGCTACCTAGTTGCATACAGTAAACGTTCATTGTACCACACAATCTTCTAGCGACTTGGACATAGAAAATGTCATTGTACCAGATTCTCTTGCAAGTTGGTTTGTTTTAGTCCCATTCTGTCATCAGAAAACTGTCATTGTACCAAACAATCGGCTCGCTTGTTAGACACTATAGGTCTGTATACTCTTGTTCCATTCTACAGAAAACTTATATTTTACCAAACAATCTTCTATCTAGCATAAAGTCGAATTTTGCGTCTTTCAATGATATATGTAGCTCAAAAAGAATTGACAACACAATAATTCGAAGACTGTATACCTTTAAGTTTCAATATCAGAATAAATAATCCTCTATATTATTATTCTATTCAAGCCAGTGTCTCTATCTAAGCTGTATTCTAATCCCATGGTTCTGGGTGAATATTACTCTCTCAGACTGGACTGACCCCCTGGGGATATATTACAAACATTTCACATGTCGTTTTAATAACTCATTCTCTCGTATTTTACATCTTTCAGTGGGAAAATTGTTTGAAATGTAGAAATTTGATGATCTTTGAATATCCCACTTGAGCCTAAGTCAAACGTCTTATACATTGATACATTCGTGTTTGTGGTATTCAAATCGTATGAGCCTGAAACAAACATTCTTAGCTATGTAGGTAGACTCAAGAGCCACTGTGTTGACAAAATACCAAGTAAACATTATTAGCTATGTGGACTCTCTGAGGGTATTAAAGATTAAAAAGATGCAGAGTGACATCGGGTATTCATCTCTAATCACCAACTGTCAATCATTTGAGCAGATAAACCAGAGATTCACTGACTCGCTGTGAACCAACCATTACCAATCTTTGCACAGATCACCAGCGTCTTGACTGACAGATAGATTCTATTACTCACGAGATGTTATATCAGGTAGAGTCTATCAATCAGAATAACGATTCTACCTGTCATTATAAATCCTTTCATCTTTTACCGACAATCTCACACTTGGAACAGGTAACCTATTGTTCTATAATTGTATTGTTTTCTCAGGAAAAATATATCTATTTCAGAGTTGTATTCCCGAATTCAGTGACTCGCTAAATGACAGACGGGATTGTTAAGATATTGTTTTATAGGGAAATGAGCAATTTAAAAATCCAATTTGTACCCTTCTCGAATTCAGTAGAGCTTTAGATAGTCTCACAAATGAAACTGTCATAAAGATTGTAAATTTATTCTTTTTAAAGAAACTAGGAAAAAAATAGATTAATTTTAAACTATTCACCAACTCAGTCGAGATCGAAAAGCTTGCATTATAACCACAAATGTAAATGTAAGCATTGGTTTAAGGACAACTTAGCGAAGGCAGTCTGGTTACATTTCATGTTTACCACCAGAATTTCCAGAAAGAAGCCAATGTAACATATATTCCTAAGAATCAACCAGATATTGCCTTAGTAGAAAAAAGAAGTTGATAGGCGCTAGCGCAGAGTGCCATCATGAATGTTACCGTGCCTTTAAGGTGAAGTACCTCCTGGGTAAGATGATGTTTATACAGTGATTAAACACAGAAATAAAACATGCATGGTCAAGAGGTTCCTCAATTTAATCTCAAGTGGGAAAGAGATAAACATCACGTACATCGATGAAAGAAAAATTTAGAAAACAAGATAGCATATTTCCCTATTTTTATTACTTTTAACTTAAATAACATCTTAAGGATCATGTGTATCTGGAACTCGGTAACGATATCTATAAAGATAACAACAATGTTGTCGTGGATCTTTTCTACTATATGTTCATTGATCAAACCTTTTGGTAATCGTTTCAGAATCCAATCTACCAGCTGGCCAATGCCATGCCTCTTGGCAATGTTTCTACAACTTATTTCTGGAGGATTCTGTCTACCAGCTAGTACTAGGCCAAAACCTCTTTGTGAGATAACCTGATTCTCGTCCACTCTTCCTTGTGTATGGCCTTGTAGAGGTTTGTTCTGTGTTAAACTTAATCAAAAGGCATAACCATTACTATATACGAATGTAATTGACAAAGATTATTCTAGATTTGTTTAAAAAAAACTAGGGATCAAATGAACTAGTTGCTCCAAGTAGTACCACGGATTTTTTCGACTCTCTAATGAGCTTAAAGCAAGAAAGAGGAGACATAGTACGGCCTACAGTAACAATAAACAGTGTTTAACTCGACTCACAGACTGGAACTAATATCACATGAAGCTATGTTACCTCAACCATCAACAACAATTGGTGATCGGTCTACTGAGCACTACTTCTTAACACATTTAATATTTTACACTTTCACTGGGTTGGTAGGATTGAGTAGCGACTAGATTGTCAACTGGGTGGGGGAAATGTCATGTGTTTGAATTTACACTCATGAAAAGGTTGTATGTTGGCAACGGAACAAAATGGAGTTTTACGTCCTACTTTTCGCTACTGAGTGGTGTAAAGAGAGAGTTGATTGGTCTAAGGCTGGATTATTAACTGTCCAAAGTCCTTGGAAAATACAAGAGCAATCTTTTTATACATTAACACCATGGCATTGAAAACAGTAAGAACCATGGTTGACACCAAATAACACCAGAACTTCACGAATATTCTGTCAGCTGGTCCTCGAAAAAAAAAATATAATAAAACCCCTCAAAACCAGCACCCCATCGGACTAATGGATACATTCTATACTTAACACCGTGACATTGAAAACAGTAAGAATCATGGTTTACACGCATAATACCAGAACTTCACGAATATTCTGTCAGCTGGTCGTGGATTAAAGCTATTGACATTGATCTTTTTTGGATTATCCGCTCCAATTACAGCTGGGTCAACTGGAATAAAGGCGACTAACTTTCACAGCGATTAAAACCAAACCTGAATTTATTCGACGTTATCAAGACAATGACGTCAAGATTATAACACTCTAACCGACTGAGCTTTAACCCGCTCTCATATCCATGATGACAATAATCAGAGAGTTAATTTCTCTCACACGAAAGTCTTGATTTATCAAAGAGAATCATGATTATATTGGATATTAATAATCAATGGAGATATAACGAATCCTGTTTAATTAATTTACATTGATTAGACATGATAGAAACCATTTTTAAAATAATTATATTTGATATACTGGAATTATATAACAGTTTCATATTTTGAGGGGGTGGGAGGGGGTGGAAGGGTGGAGGGGGGGGGGGGGGGTTGGGCTAATTTGATTGAAACTTCGATGCCCTGTTGAGGATTTCATAACTGATGCCGAAACATGTTCCTACAGCATGAGATACGATTTAGTAATCCGACCATAATATGATCTGGTTTTAATTTCCAATTGTTGACGTAGCTTTAACGTGCACAGCCTTTTTATTGTCCTATCCGAACGACTACACGCTTCTTTCTCCGACCTTAATCAACGGGGTTGAAATGATACGATGGTGGTCCTGCCAAAATATTGGTCCGCAGCTCCAAGTTAATACCATCAAATTTTTATTTTTCGTTTGTCAACATGTCACAAATGAAGTTTGGAATTTAGGGATAATTCCATTATAATTTCAATAGTTAAGTTCATTAGGTGCATTTGGATCCTTAATATTTCATCAACAAATGCTGCAGATGAAATGATTTCACTAATTGATAGCTAACTGGAACTAAAATTGATTTTAAACATTTTAATTAATCTAATAAAGCAATCTGAAAACTAATAAGGGAATTTAAAATATAAAATTCTGTTTCATTTTGTCGGATGCCGGAGGTGTTATGTTTAAACAGACTTTAAAATAATTCACCGTGTGCCGACACTAAGCAATTTGTGTAATTATATTATCATGAAATAAGAACGCAACGCATGCGACAGGGCACGTGCTTCAGGTACTAGTTGTTCGCTGCCCATATTTGCAAACTTCAATATATATATGTATTTGCAATTCTCAAAAAGACAAAACAAGGAAGACATGAAATTAGTCCAAACATCAACCTGGATCATTCATGATGGAATTCAATGTCAAGCCAGACGTCTTCAGACAACGTTACCGCACAGTTCCCATCCTTTTGTGGACTGTATCGCCAAATAATTTGAACAAAACAACTATAGGAATCGTTGGTGGCATTTGATTCTTCTTGAAAAGATCAATGCCAAGAGGTTTGGCCATGGTCCAGCTGATAGAAAGGAATCTATGAATCCTAGTTGTTATTCTTGTAAAATATAGTTGTCTTCTTTGGAGTCCAGAATAAAATATGTGTTTTTTGAATCCTGATTATTAACTTACGATATCTTTTTTTTAATTTTTGTATTCTGCTATTTGATTGTGATGAAGGAGAAAATATCAGGTTGGAGGAAATTATTCTATTTTTTTATGATTAATTTAGATTAGTTCAGAAAGATTAAACCATACAGCAGATTTATAATCATTTTGGTCGGAGCTGAAAAAATCCGCCTCATGTTTAATATGTACGTTTAGAATTTTGTACCGAGCGAGTGCGTTCTGATACCAAAACGTTTCGTAGTTTTTTCTTGTATTGTAAGTGTAAGTAGTGTCATATGAGGTGATGAAAAATATTAACAAAAAGCGGGCAGATACACGGGGTTCAGATAGCAAAACACAACGTTGTGCGTTCTGTTTTCTATTGAACAAGTCGTGTCCCATTATTAGGTAACTGAAGAGAAAACAAAATGTTCTCTCAAAAGTGTTAAATAACAACGGACAACTACCACGCATTCAGTTTTTTAAAAAAGGACAACTTAACATAAGTTTTGTATCTGAAAAGATAAACGTTGATGGTTGTGGTAGATGACAAGTTAACACTTGTTTCATCAGAAACTGATGGTTCTGCCTTTGATACATAAAAACTATTTCTCATAAAAGACAACATTTCCGTGAAATGCGAACGACCTCAATAGAACCACCAAGAACTTATATGACAATAGAGTTCTTTATGAGCACCTGAAATACCTTCATAGAAACACCGACAAGATTTTTTTGTCCAA